ATCTTGGCTTCTGATCTTAGTTTTTGTATTGTCAGCCTGTTACCTTTGTCTTTGCAATGCATACAAGAATCATCTAGAGGTATCAAATCCCATCTATACACATTACTTTGAAAATATTTTTTATATTCTCTGCCATCCTCCAAAATAAGGCCACCAGCCAAGTTTGTTACTGAAGATATAATACATCTTTGCTGAGTTTATAAAAACCACAAAATTAATAGAAACAGAATAGTGTATTTTTTTTCGGAACTCTCCTGTCTAGTAGTAGTTTCCCTTTCTTGACCTTCTTGAGCCTGTATTTAATCCACTTTGGCACTTTTCTCAAATTAAACTTTCTCAAAAAAAAAAAAAACAACTTGTTATTGATACAGCCTCAGAAAAGTAATTTATAGCCTCCTCTGAAAAGCTTGCTTGAAGGTTTTGGACATACCAGCTCTCACAAACACAATGAACTGCAATCTTTTTGCTCTGTTATATGCATGTCCAGGCTACAGGAAACATTCTGGGGCAGACAGCAAATGGTACTTTTTTTTTTTAATTACATGTCTTTACATTACATGTACAATAGTCTTTAAGAGCCTGCATTGAGCTCCCACTTTCTTACTCAAAGAATATTGTAGAAGTACTTCAATGACACCAGCCATCAACATCACACAGGCCACCAATTGGATTTCAGCTCTCAGTTATTCACCAGTCACTTCAACAGAAGAGAAGCTAAGAGGCTTAAAATATTACTGGCTTTTCCTTGAAGAAGCTAGATGCCCTCTCCTGACAAATATACAATACTTACTTAGTTACCTTTAAATTCTGAATTACAGCATTCTAATTTTTTGCAATCAACTTACTGTGCTCATTTAGTTGGCCCTGAGTGACTCAAGGAGCATTTCTATTCTTTGGACCTGCTCCAACTACTGTCTGCAGTGACTCTGTATTTTGCCAATAACTCCCTCTTCTAGAACTCGAGAAATCATCTCAGTCAAACTGGGCTGCATCTTCACTACTTACCTTGTGCCTGTCCCTTCAGTCTCTGCTGTATGCTGTATACTGCTTAACCACCATCCTGTGTCCAACTTTTTTCCAGTCAGTCTTTTTTCTCTTGATTCATGCTTCTGGCACTTTCATTCACTAGATATAAGAATTTCTTTGTGATGTTTACATTGACAAGAACTATGGGTATAAAGATTTAAATTTCTAAATTGTTATGGCTGGTTTAGTGGGGGCCTGGTCCTCTGAAGTCAATAAGATTGTGGGAATATTTCCAGTAACTCCTTAACATGTCAGATCACGTCTGCAAGTATTTATTTTTCCTATCTGATGGGAATTTCACCTTCCAAATTCAGATTGCATCTTAAACTCAGCAGGTTCACTTCAAAATAACCAGGGAATTTACACCTTTACCACATGCATTCTGTGTGCCACTGTGAGCACCTAGAATCATAAAATATCCCAAGTTGGAAGGGACCCACAAGGGTCATCGAGTCCAACTCCTACACCTGAATGCTGCTCTACTGCAGTGAACAGTGGCTGACTGCAGAAGGTTTGGGATATTGCTGAAAAGAACAAGGTCAAGATATTCAGAGAAGACTAAACAAAATGAACTATACTCCATCAGAAGCAAAAATGCAAGCAACTTTTCACCTGAAGGCTTTTAGGTTCACAGCTTCCTCTTTGGGCTCTCTCTACCCAGCCTACCACAGCACTAGGAAATTTGGAAAACACTTTGCAGAGGATCATCATTTCAAGTTTTTCTTTTTCCCTGTTTTAGCTGTGAAAAGAAACAGGCAAATGTAAAGTCCACCCACTCCAAGCATGTTAATTATAGGTGCTAAAAATCAGCTTAGCAATATTAATTCTTTTATCATTTAGGCACACATGCAAATGCCCACAGTATGTTCTTTGTTTTCACAGGGGCTATCTTGAGCAGGCTAAGACCAGGACTGTGCTAACAAGTGTTCATTTGTATACGTATGTTATGCTGCCATGCCTGTCCTATGCACATATAGGTTTCAAGCCTGTAACAGATTTTATGTGTGTTGCAGGCACAAATAAGCAATTGAAAATCTGTTCAAGGTCTATTACTCAGGATTGTAGACGCTGAACAAAACATTTGAGAAAAATTCTTATTTCTGGTGTTAGCTGGCCTGAGCAGTAAAGGGGCTGCCCATACACAGATGAATGTTAGCAAGCCAACTAAAGCAACATTAGAATGTTTTTTCCCTGTGCAATTTGGTCACTTGATTTTATCATTACTACATTAACGTGGCTAAAGATGGCATAACCTTTAGTCTAAGAGTTGTATATCACTTGAAAAATGAAGTAACTGCAATTTTCCTGAGATTCTACTACTCCTACTCTTTAATCTTCCCAGAACTACTACTTTTTGTAATGACAAGACTGACAAAAACAGATTATGAACTCAGTTGTAGTTTACATTGGTAATAATGTGAGAAGTCAGTAAATTGCCTGATATTCAAAAGGATTATGGATTCACAAGCCCCTGTTGATTACACCCACATTTCTTGGCAATGGAAACTCGGTTTCATGACTCTAAGCCACAGTAAAATACTAAGCCACAAGATATGCTTTCCTTCAATACTTGATTCCCTTATTTCTTTTATTTCTTCCTTAAAGGAATAAGTAACTAAAAGATAGAATGCATGATATATTTTATTAGAAAGAAATCAAAGATAGACAAAGTTTTTGAGCACAAAAAAAAAAAAAAACACACATTCATGTGCCTGACAATGATTTTTCCTCCATAATACCAGCTGGGTACTTTTTCTTCCCTATAAACAAATTTTACATGAATCAAAGTACATAGAAGTTGGTGTTGTTAGTACTAATAAAGGAAAAAATGCTCTTAAGTTTAACTCTACTTCTATTTTTTTTCTATTCTATAGTGTTTTCTTCTAAATTGGTATGATTTTCAGAAAGCTTCTCAATGCTTCAAAAAGGGGTTTTCCTAAGCTAAAAAAAATAAAAATAAAAATTGTTTTAAGATGAAAACAATGTTTAAAAGATTTTGGTTGGTATCAATATTCAAGTAAATGCTTTTAATTTTTTTCCACATATCGAATAATCATTAAAAAAATTAGTTTGAAGATTTTCCTTCCACTTAAAACCAGATACTTTTCAGTGGAAAAAGAATGGAGTTCCTCATGGCTCAGGAGAGACATTGTGAAAAATAAGCATCACATCCTTGTCTAAACACCGGCAATAGTCATAATGAGAGTATCTCTGAGTTCTGTCCTGGCCATAAAACTGCTGTAGTTTCCTTGACAGCTGCTGTCTGTGCTCATTGCCTACCTTTATAACCATCACAACTGTAGCTTCACCAGATCAGCTGCTGTATCCAAAGAGGCACATCTAACATTATATTGTCCATTTCCCCCCCACTGCAGTTCTTTTTTGTTAACATTGGTACTCAACACCAGAGCTGCTCAGCCATTAAGTGTTTTACAACAGGTAGTTATCCTTTGGTACGTGCCTTTGAGACACAAATTGCAGGAGCCTAATCCCCCCCATCATGTATTCTAGTAGAGTGCCACTGCCCTTGTTACCTAATTACTTCAAGGAATGGTTTAAACAAGATTTGGCAAAGGAAAATCACAAGGAATTTGTGTTTCTCTGATCTTTTTTCTTTTTCTTTCAAGACAGAAGGGCAGGAGCAGGTTTCAAAAAAAAAAAAAAAAAGCCATTTGAAGATGATGTGCCTGTGGGTGTCCAAGAGACACCGTATTCAAATGGTTAGCCTGCCATAAGGCCTCCATGAGTTAATTAAAATGTGATCAATTTTTCTGCTCCCCTTCTAGTTTTCTTCATTCAGGAAAATATGCTGAAATCACAAAAGTAGCAAAAGGATTGCTTTAACCAGATGATAGTATATGGATTCAGCATATTTTCTGCATTAAAAAAATAACATTTATATGGAAATGACTTTTTTTTTTGAAGAGGCAGCTATATATTACATAAAGTTCCACTACAGCATTTATGCAAAAGAGATTGGGAAGCACTTTCCTGTAAAGGTGCTTATTTCCTCTAGTGTAAATAAGAAGGCACAGTATAATCAAGAAGCTTAAAAGAAACATTTCATTCCATATCATATATTTTAAACCACCAGGTATTTGTTTTCAGTTCTGTGATTATTTCTTGTTTGTTTGCCTTCTGCCTTAGAGGAAGCAAATGATTTAAGAAGAAATAATCCATTCTCCCCTTTCTTTTTTCTAATCACATTGCAGTCTGCAGACGATGGCAGATTGGCAGCACGACAGACTCATGCCACTCTCAGAACCATGAGAGTATTTGGTGCATGAGGCAGAAAGCTTGTGCCCTGCCATGGCCCCAGCCCCGTGCACAGTCCCAGTGGGACATGAATAGGCTGTGTTGTGCTAGAGCCCCCACCGTGAGGACAGCGCTGCTTCCCCATGACCTACATTCACACCAGCACAAGGCACGTGGCAGTTCTGTGACTAGCCACCGTTTGGGCTGAGGGGATGCTGGGGGAGGGCAATACGTGCAGCTCAAATCAGGGAGCAGCAGTCAGCTGCACAGAACCAGAACCCCTGTAACTGCCTAAAGGTCTCTTTGATGGAAAGATGCTATAATCATAGAATACATAACTAGCAAATCATTTTTAGGCTCACTTTTATTACAAAATTACACTTTTGGTTAATAGTTTGACAACTACAAGACTGTTTTAATGTTAGTGCTGTGCTTAATGAAACACTCTGAGCTGATTCAGCCCCACTGAAGCCAAGTGCAAGATTCACCCTGATATAAATGGCTTTCCAGTTGAGAAATTCTTTGAGCTTATAATGAATTAAGGTATAGCTTACTCTGATGATGAAGTGAAATTATTTAAAATCAATTATAACATAAAAGAGATATCCTGAACTAGAAGCTCACTGAGCTAAGATTCTTGATTTACCGCCTAACATCCTAACCCTAAATGGAAATCCATACATCATCTAGTCAAAGTAATCAGACTCCAGATCACTTACTTTAGAGCAGGAAATTCATCTTTTTCCCTCTGTTCAGAAGCCGTTACCATTAGCTGGAACATTAACAGCAACCAAAGTAATCACTACTGAGGGTATTTCACCATCAAAACTCCACAAAGCATGACAGGGATTTCCAAAGCATAAACAGTCAAACACCCCATCTTCCTTCACTTTTAAAAGCAGCCCCTGAGTCTCTTTGGCCACTGCTTTATTTCACATATGAAGAACAGCTGTGGAATAGCTAATGACTTGCTTGGAGTCCTCTGGAGCAGTAAAAACCTTCCAGGCTGGTGCTCAGCCATAGAGCAACACTCCTATCTATGTGTAAATGATAACAAGAACTTTGTGCAATATGATGTTAATGGGATAAGCTTCTTGTTGGGTTTTAAAGAAAAGGACACACCGGTGAAATGTTATTTTCCATAATTGCATGACTATTTATATAGAGAAATATAAATTTATATAAATGTATACATATATATAGATACACATATTATACATTATGGGCATATACATACATACATATATACACGCAGTGTTATCTACACATACACAGATTTGTATATACATATATATAAATATATATATACACACAAATACACAGACAGCTTTCTTCTTTTTAGCTAGCTATAGTTATAAATTCTCCCTCCCCCACAGAGCCGAGATGATCTGAGTTGCCTCCGCTGAACTCCCCACGGTTGCCTTTCCATCACAAATTAAATATAATACTCATTATCCTGCAATTCTGGTTCCTGAGAAACTTGGCAATATTTCTGAATGACTTCAGATGCAGCAATTTCTCCTGCATTGCCTCTGCTAACCTATTCCAGGAGATGCAATATGCTGCTAAGATTAAGTGTCCAAAACACTAATATGTCTGAGAAGTGCCTCCACTGACCTACATTAAGAATGTAGGTCCTAATGTATACATTTTTAGCTTTATCACCAGAATGTTCATTTTTTTATAACAGTCCAAAACAAGCCATATGCCTGAATTTCCCAGAACTTTTCAAAAAATGACTTTTACATGCTAGCATATACACATATACATACATATATATGGTATATATGTATATAATGTACATACTCAGTATCATTATTTCCCTTACATACATTAGCCACTCTGTTCCAGCAGAGGTAACATAGGAGGCAGTTACTACTGCTTTGAGTCAAAAGCAGCTAATTTTAGGTTGTTGTACATGGAACACCTTTGCATTATCCCTGATGCATACCTGTTAGTGATCCATCTTATCAGTGTTTTGTGCTCTGAAGGCTTTAACAGACTTTGGCTGGCTTGTAGGGGCTGGCAAAGCACAAGGCATGTAATACCACCGTGGCTAACCTCGGGAGGCTGCTTACAAAGCTGAGTTACAGGTAGGCAATCCGGTCGATACATCTTACAGAATGAAGTCTTGAGGTGCAAAACATCACTCTACAGAAAAACCCAACAAAGATAACCATATTTTCAACTGGACTCCATTTTGTGCACATGTTCAATGTGCAAAGTGAGGCGTTAAAACTTATCATCAGCCAAATGATTATCTGTGCATGCAGATAGGTAAAAGCAATGTTGAGAATGCCAACAAATCTGGATGCTGCTCGAGAACTTGGGCCAAATGTGGGGGGAAAAAAATAAAATAAAAATGGATTTTATGGGATATTTGTTTACCTGTTCTAACAGAGACGTTTCAACAGGAATTGTATGTTGTTATTGACTGTTTCTAACACAGCAAGATGCTTGACTTTGCAGTGCCATTTGCATCATTAGCCTTGGCACAGGTCCCACTTGTCACAGCTTAACCCAGCCATAGTTAATAATGCCATTCCTTCCATCGGCATTGCTGGCTCTAGCACTGTGCCCCCTCATTGCTCACAGGAGGAATACGTACATACATAAATTAGGTACATCCACCTTTCTTGCTTTGTTGGCTTAAAACTGAAGGGGATAATTAAACACATTGAATAATGACTGACTCTTTGCCTTAATCAATGAAGGCTGCAGAACAAGGACCCAGTAGCTACAACTTGCCCTTTCTTTGAAGAAAATACTGATATAAACTGGATCTGAAAAATATCTTTACTTGCCATATTTCTTTGATTGCCAATACTATCCAGTTTCCAAAGCAGCCAGGTTTTTGGGTCACTGCAAGAAAACATAACAGAAGTGATGCCACAAGAAATGATGTTTGCTAATGAAGAAGAATGCATTAGTTATAGATATTTTTTCAGCAGTGCTGTTACAAAAAGTGATCAGCTGTGCTCTTGCATGGCATTTTAACTGCACCAGAGAAATCCTGGATGAATCTTCTGAAGAACACAAACTTTTAAACGGCCAATGTCCATTACCAATGCTCATTTTTTTAACGTTCATTTTTCACAGAAACACTACACCACGATTTTTCTAAGTGCTCATCACTGCCCTGCTCTCTGTGCAACACAGGAGCGGTGCCTGCAGTTGCGAGAGACCTCCAGGTACCTGATTGTGCAGGGTGAGAGTTAATGGTGGAGAAGATTAGATGGCCACATCTGACCCTGTAATCTTACTAATGGGAGTTTCTTACACCTTCCTTTGAGCCTGATCATTCTGGGCATTCTCAGGAATGAGAGGACACAGCAGCATGAGCACATTTCAACTCAGCCTAAGTGGCAACTCCTGCGCTCTTTGGAGCACAGCTCCTTCATTCTCCAAAGAAAAGGAGATGAAAAGAAAGAATTGGACTTGAAAGTCCTATTAAAAAGTGTTCTGTGGTGACAACTTTCCCACTGCAATGTTTTCCGCTCTTTAGTGATACTCTGAATAAAACGAAACCAAACAATGTTGAAACAACAGCAACAAAACTGTAATTAACCTTGATTTCCAAAGCCAAAGCCTCCGAAGTTCAATGACAGACTTCAGTTCAAGGATTATTCAGATAAAGGTCATTATATATAAAATATAAAATATATAAATATTTATGCATGTAGTAACTAAGAGAGCAAGAACAAAACCAAAGTTTTACATAGCTTTCTAGAAAACTCATCTCAGTTTAGGACAGTTACAACCATGAGAGACTGATTTCATTTTAAACAAGTATGTTCTGAAAAAAATAGCAACAAATGCCTTCCTAAATTCCTCAACATACAAAACAGCTCTTGTCTCAAGAAAAGCATAGTAAAGTGGACAAAGCAAGAAAAAAACATTTTCCCATAATCAGTGTACTGATATCACTTTAATACTTGGGGCAAAGTCATTAGCATTAGATAAGATGATCACTGTGGGACAAAGACTACAATCCTTTTTTTGTGGGTAATTGCTCTTACAGGAGTCCCCACTGGCAATGGTGCCACCATCAGCAGAAGGATTATCCGTGCCACCACAACCAGCAGCATTTTCCAGGTCTATGCCAGTTCAATAGTGACTCATCACAACTCAACACCCCCTGGATGAATACTTATTCAAGTCCTACTGCATAATCTGCATCGCTGCAGAGAGCTGCCCTTCCTGGCACAGTGCTGCAACAACATCCCCAGCTTCCATGCCACTTGTCATGGACAGGAATTCTCCTCCACTGCTGGTGGCATCTGTTTGAATTTCCAGCTTCTGAGAGATTTGACCCTTAGCTAACCTAAAACATTTCTTCAGAATTCATAGAATATATAGGATATTCTTGAGAAATTTAGAAAATTCTAGTACAAAAAATAAAGATGTTAGAAAAAGTAAATGGGCATTCAATCCATGATGTGTTCAGTACATGGCATATGACCGAGATATTCATATTTTACATTGTGCTATACTCTCTATTATTATCTATTCTTTTTAAGGCACCAAACGTCTTAGTATTGCATATGCATCCATCTTCCCAATACCATACTTACAATTAACATCCTTAACATTCAAAATATAAAGACTGATGCAGCATCCACTCTGCAGAGACTACCCAGTACAACTGCCAGACAGGGAGTTTCTATAGCAATGCAAGTGGCTTGGTTCCTTTGAGTCTTCTCCCATCATTTTTCCACAAAAATGAACAACCTGACAGTGTTCTGAAAACCACCACAATATTGAAAGTTTTAAAAGAGAAAATCCCACCACAGGGGACTGTTTCCAAATACTTTCACAGTGATCAAAGATAACCTACAATGTTTCACCCCAGCACCTCTCTGGTGAGCATCATGTATCACCAGATGCACCCAAAGCTAATGGGTTTGTCAGTAAACCCCAACCTCCTCCAAAAATCCTAAACAAAAATAGAAGTATGGAATTTTAAAAGAAGTGGGAAGCTACAAGGATCAAACAAAAGACATTTAAAAAAACAATATGAAACACAATCGTTGGTGTCTGTAAATATTCTTGTTTTTAAAGAAGGTAATACTGATGAGATATTTCCAAATAATTTGCAACTGTTATATAAATAATCGTGGTGTATGTTACTATAATACATAGCTACCTATGACATTAGATCTAAACTCTACCAATTTCCACATTTCTTGAATCTACTGAGACACACTGATATTTGTGTGCATGCAAATCCTCTTATTTTAGAATAAAAAAGTGCTACGGATTGGTTAATTTGTGAATGAGGTCAATCAAGAAATTTACTAGAATGGTAACAAATTCTTTTTCTAGTAACATGGAGAGCTTGTCTTGATATACTTGAATCCACATAATATAGGTTGCAATTTTCTGAGATGTGGCTTTGCTCTTCATTCGAGTCTGTTGACTAAAACTGAGCGGTAATGTGATATTTCATAACTGGCTTCAACAAGAGCAGGATTTGGCCTTTAGTCCGTGCTCACACAAGAGTTTGTTCCAAGCACATTCCACTTCTTCCACTAAGAGGAACAGGCTTTGAATTGGGATTTAGCTGTGTTTGCCAGATTAAAACAGAATCTTTTTTCAAGAGGTGGGAAAAAAAATGTATTCCCACTCATATCAGCTTTATAAAGTATTAAAAATAGCATATTTTGTACAAAGAGATGTTGTTAGTATGAAGAAATTATGAAACTACATATTGGGTAAATTTATTCCCTATTTCTCCCATGGAAACAATTGTTTTGTATTGTATAATCCATGAATAAATTCATTGTGAAACTCAGATATGAGGAAGTCAGATTTAGAACCAAGTCTAAGAAAACTCATAAAACAGGAATATGCAATGTGCAGCAGTCTGATTTCTGAATGTATGTAAATCCATGTTGTAAAAGGAAATGCCTTTGGAAGAAGTGCAGTTCTGGAACAAGTTCGCATCTAAGTGGCTGAACCATTGCCAGAAGTCATATTCTAGGGCTGAGTAATATAGATAACCAGTGAACTTCCAAACTTAGGGCCAGATTCTGCACACCTTATTCACGTGAACATTTCTGTAATACATAAAGCCAGTTCATCACACGTCGTTCATGTGAACAGTTCAACTTCATTTGAAATATGACTAAAGTAGAAGTAGCATAGCACTCATGAGTTGCTGCTCGCATACTTGTGTTTCAGAAATGTAGAACATTGCATACTGATATTTTGTAGAGACCTGTCTGTCATGTTGCTCTAAATGTTTATAACAGAGAAAACAAGTTGGCCATAAGTGCACATTTCTTGCTTAAAACCAAATCAGCATGATGATATGCACAAAAGCGTTATTTTTTGTTGTTTTGTTTTGTTTTTCTGGAAAGGTCTCTGACAGCATCTTGAGTTACCACAGCTTAACTCACATCCACTGAATCTAACAATAAACAACCTCTCTGTAGTATTCACCCAACAACAGCAGTCCAGTTCCTGGTGTGCTGTGAGACTTTCAGAGATGACAAGTGTTCTGGAAGTCAGATTATTATTTATACCATAAAAATTAACATCACTATTGATGTAACCCAGAGATCCATAAAGCATTGTCCAAGCCTCAAGCAAATCGTTTAACCCAGGTAAAATATTATTTTTGCATCTATGACAATATCAGGGAAGTACAAAAGAGTACCAAGCACCATCAGTATCTATTCTCATGTATGCAGTCATTATCAGCTAGGACTGGGACTTACCTGGACTTGTTTCTTTTCTACCTGTAGGAAGAATTTCAGTATAAACAATGAATGGATAAACCAAGCACATGGTGAAAGATTTACACAAAGGTTCTGAGCACTGCCTCATGCTGAACTGCTGAAGCTGATGCCAGCTACTTATACAATAATGAAATAAGCTAAAAAAATGTATTTATTTATTTGAAATATTATCCCATCAAACAGCTCCAATATGAATGTGGATCATTGACTTTATTTGGTTCCTTCCCAATATTATTAATGCTATCAAGAATACTGCTGATTAAGAGAATAATCCCTATTAATTAGGAGCGACCCAGGTCACAGCATGTAAATAGTCACCCATCACAGATCAGAGATGATGGATCCACTTTTGTTTCCTGCAGTGGAAAGTAATGCTACCACCCACTCAGCCTCATCTCAACACAATGAAATAGCAAAATAGAAGTCATCATAATATACATTAACTATCACAGTTAAGTATTGTCAATATTTCCAGAGGCAACTATCCCCAAATGATTCCAGTGAATTCCCAGTACACAAGGAAAAGGAAGTTTCCTACACAAGGAAAGAAAAATAACTCAGTGTAAGCCAAAAATTATCTCTTTTAATACAAAATTCCATTCTCATAGAACAAATTTATTTCCACTGAATAAATAGATTTCTCACCATTCACAGGTGAGATTGCTACCTATAGTTATGTTGAAATTCTCTTGCCTTTCTGCAGTTTAATTAAAATATAAACATTATTTTCAACTGGCTTTACTATATTTGGATACAAGTATGAACACTTAGGGTTTGATGACATTGCCAAATGTACACAGCACCACTCTCACTAGGGGTTGTACTTTAACCTGGTTTGTATAGCTCCACGTGTTACTTGCATGTACGCTTATCAATGCAATTCTGATTATCATATTATAATGATTATCATAAGAAAGATCTGGCCTTTGCACTTTGATGTTTATTTTTAATAGGACCATGCTCTTCCACTGTCCCTTAAAAAAAATAAAAAAGAAAAAAAAAAAGAAAAAAAAAGAAAAAACAACCACATACACACAAAACCAAAACAATGGCAACAACAACAACAACAACAAAGAAATAAAAACAAATAAAAATAAATTAAAAAAAAAAAAAGAGAAAGAAAAGAGAACCCCATGCCCAACAGACTAGAGCTGAATTGCAGCAATAATAAAACACTATCAGCTCAGTAGAGGAATTTGAGAACTTCAAATGTATAACATTTCTTTAGCAAAGCCATGGAGCCAATGATAGATTTACAGACATTTGGAGCTGCCTCTCCAAAGCGCATACAGCTACTCCCAGGGCTTGGGACACTGCTGTCACACCCAGCTGCCTCTCCAAGACAGATAGACCAAAAAGCCTGCAATAAGCATACTTGATGAATCTATAAAGGGGACAACTGGGGTGAAAACAAGCATTCATGGTTTTATCTCCAGTAAATGCGTTGTGCTGGGTGGAACAAAGCTGTTCCCACCAGGCCGGAGGGACAGCTGGGTGTGATGTGACACTACTCACTTCTGCCCCGCACCAGGCAGGTGGCAAAACCTAGTCCCCTCAACAGCAACCAGAAAAAATGTCCTAAGGGGGAAAGCTTTTTAACGCAGATGGGGGTGAAAAAAATTACAAATATAAATTATTTATTATTATGGATAAATTATCATTCCTGCTGCTCCATTAAGACAAACGATACCTATAGATATATATTCGATATTTCGCTATAAAACTCTATATCTGAAGACCTTCAGGACAGTTCTCAGAGACGGAGGATGCCGGCAGTGGGCTGTCGTCCCCCCCCCCCCCCCCCCGCAGTCCCCCCGGCCCCGGTGTAAGACCCCCGGGGGCTCCGGTTTAGGGCCCCGGGGGCTGCGCTCGGCGGGGCCGGGGCCGGGCGGGCAGCGCTGGGGCTGCGGCGCCACCTGGCGGAGGATGAGGAGCGGAGCCGCCGCTGCCGCCTGACCGGCCCCGGGGACCGAGGCCAAGATACCACCGGGACCTTCTCTCCCTTTCTTTTGGTCACACTCCGGTTCCAGCGCGGAGCAAACAAACGGCTGCGCCGGGGCAGACAGACCCCCGGCCGCGGGGAGGTGATGGAGCTTTAGGCATCCTTTCCCAGAGACCTTCAGCTATTTTTTCCAAAATTCAAAAGCGCTTTAATGCCCGCTCCCATCCTCCTTTGACTGCTCGCTTCACATTTAGAAGGAGCCCCAGCAGTGCCCCTGCGAGAGGGCACTATTTTGAGATGCAAGGGAACTGCCGAAAATACAGTGCGGCGTGGGAATACGGATTGCAAATCGGATTTGTAAAAGTCTCAGGTGGTATCTTGGCAAGAGAAGCTGTACAGGTTGTTCGTTTTTTTTTCTGTTAACATCACAGTGCATCGAACTGTTATTAATAAAATAGCTTTCAAGGTTAAGGTGGGAGAAGGAAATCTCAGTAGGGGGAAGCTGACGTTTAAGGTTCAAGCTTTGTATTCCTATATATATATATATGTGGATATATATATATATATATGCATGTTTTTTCAAAACTTTTTATTAGGAAAGCTATACCAGACGCATCACTGTACAATGATTAAACATTACCTTTACAATTTATATTCACTTGAAATTACAGAATAAATATATGCACATTGTTGTACCTCTCGTGTGTGTGCGTGTGTGTGTGCATGTATGTGTGTATGCGAGAAAACATTAAAAGTGCTTCCTACAAAGCTGTTAGTGACGGGTGCCCAGTAGCTTTTTTTTTTATCCTTTTTTTTTTTTCCTGTATATTTGCATGTTGCTTTTATTTAGGAAAGTGCGGATGTCCTCCAAAAAACCATGGCGTCATGATGAAGTGTCACTGAGCATCCCCTAGGTGTGTGCGCCACGTGGTTACATCCTTTGGGCTGCTCGGCTCCGGGTGGCTTCCCCCGGCGCCTGGGATTCCCTGCGCAGCAGCGGGCACTGCGCGGAGGGGCCGGGCTGCCGCGGGGTGGCGGGGGTGCGGGTGGGTGCATGTGCGTGCGAGGGAGGGAGAGAGACAAGAGTGAGACATTCGAGCAAGACCCTCCCCTCCCTTCCCTCTTGCAGTTTCCAGGCATGCAGCAAACCTCTCTCGTTTGCTTCTTTGCATTTTTTTTTTTTTAAATAAATGTACAGAATCTGTGCCATGATGGGCAAGAAGAAAGCAAGCCACAAAATGCCATCTTCCCTCCCCTCCCCTCCAAGGGAAAATATAGAGGAAGTTTACTGCAACGGAAAAAAATAAAAAATAAAAATAAAAAATAAAATAAAAATGAATAAAAAAAAAAGAAAGACACACATGGAATTTACTTAATCAGGATCAATACAAAGATCCCCGATAATAATAATAATAATAATAATATACCTTAGACATGGCACAGTCAAAGTCTCAGTTTCAGTATAAAAAATAATGATTGATTAACATCTGCTGGCAAAAGTCTGCGAAGGCACTTCGTCGATTACTGCTCTGAGGCCGGCCCTGCCCGCAGCGCGCACAGCTGGCGGGCAGAGCGCACAGCTGGAGCCTCTCCTCGCATGCGGTGGTGCCGGGCGGGCGGCGGGGCGGCGGTCAGAACCGGTACGTGGTCTTCTCCAGGACTTCGAGGTAATCCGGCTTGGTTTGGAGTTTGGCCCTTAACTCGAGGTATTCGCTTGTGGGGGTTTGGTGCTCTGAGAAGCCCTTGCCGGCCGCGAAGAGAAGGGTTTCTTTGAGCCTGGCGTCCTGCTGGAGGTCCGGGTATTGCATGCCAGGGGGGTGCACGTGCAGTTCCTTCAGCTTGGGCACGGTGCCGTACAGGCAGTCCACGAAGCCCACGGCGCAGGGGGGCGGGCGGTCGCGGTCCCGGGGGGCTCCTCCCGCCGCCGCCGCCGCCCCCGACCCCCCGGCGCCCGCCGCCAGCCCTCCGCCCGCGGGATGCTGCGGGTGGGCGGCCACGATGGTGTTCAGCTGCGAGCTGGACACGGCCAGGCTCCACTCCTGCTCCTTCTCCAGCAAGGTGCGGTAGTTGGTGCTCGGCTCCGGGCCGGGGGGCGCGGCGGCGAAGCGCTCTCCGGCGCCCCGCAGCAGCTCGGCCGCCTCCCCCCCGCCGCCCCCCGCCGCCGCCTCGTCCTCCTCGTCCTCCTCCCGCGGCTTGTAGATGGGGTTGTTGCACATCTGGGTCACCGGGTGCGGGATGTAGTCGTAGACGTGACCCGCCGGGGGCGCCTTCTCCGGGGAGCGCTCCCCGCCGCCGCCCTCCTGGAAGCCCCCCGGGCCGCCCAGCTCCGCCGCCTCCGCCCGGGGCCCGCGGAACGGCCGCTTCCTCCGGCGCCTCCTCAGCACGAAAGCGAAGAGCCCGGCGGCCAGCAGCACGGCCGAGAAGAAGAGGACCAGCAGGCTGAGGATGAGCACGGAGAGCGGCACGGCGGCGGCGGGCGGCGGCAGCTCATAGGCGGCCGCGCCGGTGGCGGAGGGCGGCGGGGGGGCGGCGGCGGCCGGGGGCGAGGCGGCGGCAGCGGCGGCAGCGGCGGGGGGGCGCAGAGCGGCGGGGCAGAGCGCCCCCAGCTCCAGGGAGCGCAGGTCGCGGCGAGCCAAGCGCTCGGGGCTGGCGCACAGCACGTCGCCCACCACGCTGACCGAGCTGAGCGCCTCCAGCCACTGCTTGAGGGGCACCAGGTCGCAGGTGCAGTCCCAGGGGTTGAGCTTCAGGTCGATCTGCACGATGGCGTGCAGGTGCTCCAGCACCCCGGCCACCGGCAGCGCCAAGAAGTGGTTGTTGCGCAGGTTGAGGCGGGCCAGCGAAGTGCCGGCGAAGGCGTCGGTGGGCAAGGTGCGGAGCAGGTTGTCGTTGAGGAAGAGCAGCTTCAGGTTGGGCATGAGGCTGAAGGCCGCCGGCTGGATTTCCCTGATCAGGTTGTACTCGAAGTACAGGTAATGCAAACTCTGCAGGCCCCGGAACATGCCCGGGGTGAGCCGCTCGATGTCATTGCCGTTCAGGTAGAGGCTCTTGAGATTGGGCAGGTTGATAAAGGCCCCATCCTGCACGTAGGAGATGCGGTTGTTCCCCAAGTGCAAGAGATCCAAAGAGGAAAAATTCCAGAAATCGGAGCGGTAGATTTTCTGGATCAAATTCCCGCTCAGGTACAGCTTCTTGGCATTCAGGGGCCTGGGCAGGAGCTCAGAGATGTTGTGAAACCCTCGCTCCTTGCAGTTGACCGTCAGGCCCAGGTCATTGATGTGCAAACTGCAGGAGCAGCCGGTGGGGCAGATGATAGGGATCGGGGGCCTGGTCTGGTAGGCAGCCACGGGTGGCTGGTTAGGCCCGGGGTACAGGCCGCGGGGGGTTGGGGGAGGCCGGGGTGCCCTGGGCTGCTTGGTGGGCTTGGGCTGTTTGTTGGATGTTTTGTACTCAACTGAGGAAGCGGTGAAATGGAAGGAGGACAGCATGGAGGACGGCTTCGTAGGCCACGCGTTCTCCTTGCTGGACGACAGCTGAGGGATGCCCAGGCTGGCTTCCACCTCGGAGTCGGACAGCATGGGGCAGAGCTTACTTCTTTTGATTTCCCTCAGGTCCTTCCCATGGAAGTGGAAGGGGGTCTCGCAGGTGATGTCCCCCACCAGGGCAGTGTAGGGAATGCGCTCCAGCCAGCTCTTCAGCTGCACGATCTCACACGTACAGTTCCACGGGTTCTCCTCCAGCTGAATCTCCATCAGGCTCCTGCCAATATGGTCCAACATCCCGCGGTATGAAAGGACTTTTAACCTGTTCCCACGCAAGTCCAAGTGGGTTAAGGACACAGACTTAAATAGGTTGGTGGGAAGCATGGGGATCAGATTGTCATTTAGGATAAGGACCCTCAATTTACTTAGGTTTCGAAATGCCCCACTTTCAATCCGCTTAATGACATTGTAATCTGCCTGCAGATATTCCAGACTTTCCAAACCCAGGAAAGTGTCGTTTCTGAAAATGTCCAATTTGTTTTCGTGCAAATACAACCTCTTTAGAACTCGGAGCCCATTAAAAGCCCCCGTCTGAATGTCCTGCAGTGCATTGTTTCCAAGGTTAATAGACACAGCATTGTTCAAATGAAGAAAACTGTTGGTGTACAATTTCCTCATGGAATTCCGCTGCAGATAAAGTTTAAAAGGTCTCGACCATGACTCTGTTATCTGACTAATATTTATAAATCCTTTGTTGTCGCAATGTATATGGAAAATGCTCTCCTTCACTTCACAGTAACATGGATCAAAGCAGGGCTCATCAAGTTCCTCCGAGTCCTCTATCAAGGGAATTGGTGTAGTCCATGCTAGAGCAATTGTGCTTAGAAGAATTATCCACAACATCCTTCCTTTATGAAGCGTCTCTGCCGAGGAAGGTTTCATCATTTGTTGACGTTTACAAAACTGCAATGGGAAAAAAAAAATGCAGATTTTCAGTATTTCTCTCCTGCCCCACTCCTTTTACCAAGCCCCTACCTGCTAGACTTGTGTTAGACTCCTGGAAAGTTCAGCAATTGTTGGGTAGACGTTCACAACAAACTCTAGAGCTGTTGGGTGTGTGAGCCTTGCCCTGATTTATACTTAAGAGATGTTAAAAGGTTTAATCACGCGATATCAGCCTCCCTCATCTCCCTCCGCCCCCCCTTTTGGTAAATGCCACCTATAAAGAGGACAGCACATGCAGACCATACAACGATAGGAGCACACAGGCAGAACGTGTTGCGTCTTTGCGTGTTTTCCGCCATAGGACCAGCATTCAGAACTGCGTGTATTTCATACTTGTTTGCAGTTTTGGCTTTATTGCCATCGTAGCCTATGTCAACTACAAGGGGAAAATCTCGTAGCAGTGGGCAGATTTCTCCAGTGTCACACTACATCTTTTATACATGCAAACTCCCAAAGTTATTGAATTTCAGTCCTTGAATCTCTCTCCCTGCCAGCTCAATATTATTCCATATGTAAGTTCAAAGGAATGTGCAAGGTTTGCTAATGTCCCTGAGAAAACAGTTCCCTTCAGAAGCCACCACAACGTCTTTAAAACAGTAAATGGTTAACAATCCTAATTTAAAAGAAAACATTCCCCTTTCAAACACACAGATGAATTAATGCAATGGGTATATTATCAGATAAATACATACCACATATTAGTCATTTTAGCTGATTAAAGCATTTAGAGATGATTAATCTTTCTAAAGCACATGCCCATGCGATCAGCAGATCTAAAGGGAAGTGACAGCTAAAGAGGCACCTAGGATTGAAACGCTCAGCCTGCCTTGGATTAGGGTATTCTGCGCCCCCAGGACCAAGCAGGAGACCCAGTTAAAAAGCTGAAAGTGGAAGAAAAAATGCCTTGACACTTACCAGCCGATAAATTATCTATCCTACTATATACGTTTCCGAATGAAGACACGGTTCTTCTCCTATCAGATGAAAATAATACTGTACTAATGAGATGCAGCTCCTTCAACATATGGTTTCACCCTTCCTTTCACCAGATATTTCAAATGTATGGGCATAGAGAAATGCTAAGGATGGTAATAATAACGGTGGTGATGCAGCCTTCCTTGAATCACTGAAAAGCCCATTAGAATTATTCGGAGCGATCATTGCTTTCGGTCTTAATCTCTCAATAGAAAAGGTCCTTTTTCCCTTCCACGCGTAAGAACTGGAAAATTTTGACCCCCATCCACAAACTTAAGAGCAGAAAGATGCATTTAGGGGAGAGAAATGCGAAACGAAAAGAAATCCTTATGATCAACTTGCGAATGAAACCCTCCCCTGTGGGAAAGAGATGGTTGAAAGCATGAAAAGAGAAATACCCCCTGCAATTAAAGCCAGCATCTAATTGGGAAGAAGGGAGAGAGATGAGAGCTATATTGCAGTATCAGTCTCTCTGTCTCCTTTGCAAAATATTAGCCACTTAAGTTCTTTCTCTTCTGCAAGGGCTGTAATAAAAAAAAATAAATAAAGAGGGTTATTATATCTTCTTTTGGGGAGAGGGGGTGTCTTTGACCCTACGTGGAAACAAAAGGATCCAGAAAGCTTGTACTTACCGGTTTGCAGGAGAGATTTTAGCACATCGTTCCAAAAAAAAAAAAAAAAAAAAAAAAAAAAGGAAAAAAAAAAGAAAGGGGGAAGGGGGAAAAAAAGCTCGAGTTTAAAGATTGCTGGTTTCTCTCTGTCTCTCCCTCTCTGTCTCTCTCCCTCTCTCTCTACTCCTGCTGAAGCTGAGGCAAAAGGGAAAAAAAAAAAAAAAAAAAAAAAAAAAAAAAGAAGCAAGGCTGAGACGTGCTGGGAATGCAATGAGCCCCTCAATGATCTTCTTTAGGATGCAGAGCTGCTGTTTGGCACACTCAATGGAGGAGGGAGGAGAGGGGCTGCTGCAGGCTCCAGCGCCGCCGCCGCCGCCTTCTCCGGGCACCGGCAGCGCGGAGCGGGAGGGCTGGGGCGCGGCGGAGGATCTCGGGCTTCTCTCCTGCTCCCTGTGTGTGTGTGTGTGTGTGGTGCTGTTGTTGCCCTGGATCAGGCTTTTCCACGTCATGAAAATGAGCTTCAAGAAGGGGAACAAATGAAGGGGGCGCGCTTGGCACCAGGTCGGGGGCGCGCATTTGGGAAGCCCTGACTATACATTTTTTTTTTCCCTGCCTTTTTTATTTAATTTTTTTTTTTTTTTTTTTTTTAGAGAGGGAAGGAGGGGGCTGGTTGGCGGAGAGGAAGGGAAGTGGGAAACGAGCAGATGGGGGAGGAAAAAAAAAAAAAAAAAAAGGCAAGAAGAAGCAGAGAGGAAAAAGCCGCCGGGATGGGTCACAATTCGCATCCCTCCCCCACCACCTCTTCTAACAAAAAAAAATCCAACTCTGGAGGGAATCAGAGATGCCCTGACTGCAAGCTCCAGCCTTGCAGCCTTGCAGCAGCGGGTCCGGGTGTCCCGGGGTCCCCGCGTCCCGGGTTCCCGGCTCCCCGCACCGCGCCCCCTCCGGGCCGTGCCGGTGCCGAGCCTCGCCCGAGCCTCGCAACCTCTCCGGGATCAAGCAGCCTCCTCCTCCCTCCCGGCCAGGAGGCAAAGCCCCAAAGCCTCGGGGAGGACACCCGGAGCCTTTCGCATCCTCCCTCCGCCGCCGCGGAGTTTGCGCGGAGGCGGAGGGCGGCCGCGCCCGCGGAGGAGGGAGCCGCAGGAAGGTAACGGGGCTGCGGGGAGGTTGGGGGGGAGCGGTCCGCGGAGAATGCGCGGAGGGGCGCGCAGCTTGCGCGGGTTTCCCCGCGGCTGAAAGTTGGAAAGCGAGGACCCCCCCTCCCAGGGGCGCATCCCACCTGCGGGCAGGGCAGGGTCCCAGCCCCGCGTTGCCTCCGCGGCCGTCCGCAGCCGCGCATCCCCATCCTCGGGCAGGCTCCGGTTCCCCCCAACCCCAAATCCCCTTTTCCCCGGGGTAGCTCGGCCGGGAGGAGACTTAACTGCAACCGCTGCTCGGCAGCACAAAGTTGACGGGCGAAGCTGCCGGGGCCCGGGGAAGCGCCCGGGGGGGCCGCCGCCTCCTCCTGGCTCTCTCCGCGGGCAGGGGCGCTACCTCCGCGGCCGGGCCCCATGCTCCGCAGGCTCCCGAGCTCTCCTTCAGCGGTGCAACATGGGCGCTCCGCACCCTCCTAATTAAAGCGCAGCATCATCCCCCCGCCGAGGCGGGCGGCACGCACCTGGCACCCCCTTTGGAATAAAATGGTTGGGGGGGGAGGCGGGAAGGGAGAAAGGGCAAATCGTAGCGGCTTGGGCTTGTGCCGAGCTCGCAGAGGGCCTCCAGCAGCAACTCAGAGCCGTGAGAGACGACCTGTGTCCCCCCCCCCCTCCAGCACGCCCCTTTGCTCCTCGCCGTGTTTGGGGACCTTGCGCTGCCGCTACCCCGCAACTTTCCCAAAATGCCACCGAAAGGGGCTCGTCCTCCCCCCACGTCGGGGATGCTGCCTGCAAGTTTCGCCGCTGGGCCGGCGATGGGAGGACGGGGGGGGGGCGCCGGGGGGGCTGCGAGGGCTGGCCCCGTGCATGCAAACCAGAGGGTGCTGAGGGGATGTACCCCTGCCTTGTGCCCGGCTGTCCCCGCATGTGAGCAGCTCCCCCTAACCCCCCCGGGACACCCTCGGGGCCGCAGGAGGGGCATCCCCCCCCCTCCCGGCACTGCGATGCTCCCTGCGGGTGTGTGGAGGGAGGAGCAGGAGCTGGGATCTGGGAGCTCGCCCAGAGGTGCTGGCCCTTCCCGGCGTTGCTCGGCCTGAAAATCCCGTGTCTCCTGGTGTGTCCCCCCCCCATCCCATCGTCAGCAATCGCCCTGGCCGCCCCCCGCCCCAAAGCAGCTCGCAGCCTCGGCTCTTTTTGCTGCCACCAGCTGCTGGGAGCAGGCTCGGCAGATTGGCAGCAGCTCCGGCTCAGGGTACGGCGGGCTGATGCAACCGAGACTGGGACGTCACTCGGTTATTAATAATAATAATTAGTATTGGCAAGCGAGCTATTTCCTTGCCAAAACCCATCCTGGAGCCGTGGAGTCAGGGGAGATGAGTGTCAGCCAGGTGAAGGGCTGGCAGGTGCCCTCCCGTTTGCCTCTTCCCAGCCTTCGTTGTGATTACTGAATGTACCTTTTCCTCCTGACGGCTTGCAAAATAAATAAATAAATAAAATAAGGGAGAGAAAAACCCCGGACAACTTTTTGTGACAAATTAGACAAGGATACTTGAACAATTATTGTGCCTTTACGAACGTATCATTACAGCATTACATTTCCACTGGAGGCGACCATTCCCCCCACTGCAGTCATTGTAACGCAGTCATTTAATGCTTCATTCAATCCGCAGTGTAAACCAACTCATTCCTTTTCTAATAGAAGTGGCAATGTTTGAGAGAAGGAGGGAGTTTTCTACCAAAGCTCAGCCCGTCCAGAAAGAAATATTCTGATCTTTAATAGCCTCTTCTGTCTCGAGCAATCTATGGTAAGGGTGAAAGCAATAAATAGTGCAAGGACGAGGGAAACTCTATTGTAATTATTATAGATGGGAGCTGCTTTCTGGCTCTCTATATTTTGCTAAAGCCCGGGAGCAGTTTAGAGGTTCTGGATCTGAGTGCTGTGAGGATTTAGGGACAGGCAGTGCCTGGGCTCTGGCTGTGGTTCTGCCTAGGGGCTCAGAGAAGCCTGCATAGCCATGACTGGGCTTCAAATCCCCTGGGCAGGGGGATGTGTTGGAGCCTGGGCCCAGGAGCAGAGCTGTGAGACACCAGCAGGCTGCTGTGCTGCTTAATCTAAGCCTCATGCACTTGTTTCAGCAAGTAGGGTGTTCTGGGAGGGCTGACCCTTGGCTGCAGGGAGCTTCCCATGGGGCAGAGCCAGCCCCTGCCTCTGGGGACCTACATTGCATACTTGAGCCAGGAGGGAAGGCCGGAAAGTCAGATGGGTTGGGGAAAATGTGGTGCAGAGAGTGGTCCTGGGTGGAAATATTCGTGGCTGCAGAGGCTGAAGGGACAGACTTCAGATAACACCACTCATCTGCCTGATGTTCAAGCCTGGCAAAGCCTTAAAATTCCTTCCCTGGTCTGGAGATCCCCCTTGTGTCCTCATGAGACTCCATTTGTCTGGTGTGTCAAGATAAATGTATTTAAAATTGAGATCTTCCCTCTTTTCCTTCTTTCTTTCTTTTTTCTTTCTTTCTTTCTTTCTTTCTTTCTTTCTTTCTTTCTTTCTTTCTTTCTTTCTTTCTTTCTTTCTTTCTTTCTTTCTTTCTTTCTTTCTTTCTTTCTTTCTTTCTTTCTTTCTTTCTTCTTTCTTTCTCTTTCTTTTTCTTCTTTTTTTTTTTTTAAAGAACCTTGCAAAAGTTCTTGTTTTTCTATATTATATATTGCTTAAACCGAGCAACTTTAGTGTCTTTCAAAAAGGTGATAGAGGAAAATCCAAACAGAAGATCTTCTCTGCATACCAGTCAGTGAAACAGTTCATGAGGCTTAGCTTCTTCTTTTCCCTCTCTACTACTTAGTTCATTTATCAAACCGAAAGGGAAACAAAATTACCGTTGGAATTTACCTACAGTCCTGGCTTGGATGAGAACATTTCTGTTGAAATCTGCATGATAGAATCCCATTTTTTTTGGAGAGAATTACAACCTCTCATCCTACCAAAGCAACAATAGAGGCTCATGCCCAGAGGACCTGAGTTTGACACAGAGCTTGGTCCTGTGCCCTCCAGTCAGCATGAAGGGGCTGCTGCCTGTTAAGGAGCACATTTGGCCAAGGCTCAGTCCTCTCAGCTCCAAGGGGAGCTGCTGAGGACCCTGAGTCACCTCCAGCCTGGGACTGGCTGCTCAGCTGAAGGCTGGCTTTCTTTTCGGTGTGCAGTCCTGGTATTTGACATGCCAGACATAAATTACCAGGACAGATTATTTGAGCTGCATAAGCATTTGTGAATGCACATGAAATGGAGGAGATGTAAGAATTTTAAACTGGGCTTTTCCAGCTGGAATCCTTCAGGCTGGAGAGCTTCTTATGTTGAACTGATGCTCCTAGCCACATTTTTTACAATTAGTCACCCCATTATCATCTATATATTATCCTATGTAATTTTTCCCAGGCCACAACCACTCTAAGTGATGAATACATCATAGTATTTTTATATATGAAGTTAAGAAATAACGCACCAGATTAAATCATCACATTGTACTTCTGATGTGAAACTCCTCAGCTACTTTAAACTCAAGAGAAGGACACTGAAGTTGTACAGAAACCCCAGCCATGCCCTCAGTAACAAGTTATATGTAATTGGTTTTTACTCTTGGGATTTTTTTCAGCGGAAAAATTTTGCCCAGTGTTTGATGATATGAGTAAATATTAAAAAGAAAGGATGAAAGAACTAATGGATAGCATTAAAATAGAACAGCAAATACCAGCAAATCATGAGTGCAGTATTTTTAATGGATTGTTATTAAAAATAAAAGAGAAAAGTAGGCAAAATAAAAGGGAGATTTTCATGGACAAAATTGACAGTTCTGTTATCCTCACCAAATCCTGACATTTCAAGATCAGTTTTTATCTAATGATTCAATGGCCTTAAATATTTCTTTCCACTAAATCAGGCACAGCTATAGCTATTTTCCCACCTCAGACACGTAAGCTCACATTTTTTTCTAAATGTGCTGATATTTATTATAGCCAGTGTCAAAAAACTTCGCACTCCATTTATATATGAGCTTCTCTTTGGCCTTTATTAGAATGATCTACAGCCGTGGTTAGGCATGCACAACTTCTTTTGACAGCAGCCAGGATTTCGTGTGTGGATCAAAGGTAGAATAATTCCCCAAGGGCGATCTCTTCCCGTCCGAACTACAGAGTTATGAGCTCTGCTCCAGTGCGGGGTGGGAGCTTCTTCAGCTCTTCCATGCTTCAGACAGGTCATTCTGCAGCCCACATCCACCTTTGTGCCAATGTGCTGTGTATTTTTTAAGCTTTTTATATTTTTTTTTCCTCCAGTGGAGAAAGTAATTTTTACCTGGTAGCATGAATACAGGCTCTGGTGTCCTAAATGTGACTGATTATAGACCAACGCAAAGGAAGAACATGGATTTAGAAGGCTACTCTCTAAATTTCTCTGTCCATTTCTCTAAGACCCCAATGGCAGGACACAGAGCCTTAGAAGATAGCTGATACCTTGCATGCACACAAAAAATCTTAGATAATGCGGAAAATAGTGTCCGAGTTCTATTAGCGGGAACATACAATTCTATGATTCTGTGACTCTGTGATTTATTCCAAAATAATCATGTGGGATAATTTCTACTCTTATGCACTCTACACATAAACGTTTCCTTTTGCAGTTGCTAACTTTGCTTGGTTTTCTTCCGTCTTGTGGGCCACTCTTGTGTACATCCTGGTTGCTTTATTTGGTCTGGACCCATGAAAACAGAGTTAACCTGACAGCACACACTGTAAGCAACAGCACGGATTTTCAGGGCATCTGGATTTACAGTTGCCAGAATTAGAAACATGAGCCCGAGGAGATCATGCCAGGGCAATTCCCCAGTCCTGGGCCATAAAGCCAATCAATTTAAAGTGTAATAGAAGCCACGATTACTGTGCTGGATTCCGTGTGAAGGAAGGCACTTACTGATCATTTGGACAGAAAAGCTCATATTCAAAATTGCTTTTAGATCAGTCTTGA